TACCAGAAATGCCGAAATCCACAAGTGCTTTTTCTTAACTGTCTTCATTCTCAAGTGATTTTTTTACCTTTTCATGCAATCTGTCCAGGTAGCTTTTTCTCCCATAGTCACAATATGACACTCCCTTGAAAGTAGTTTCTTAACAAATTCTGAGCCAAAGGTGATCATTTCAAGTTTGCAATCACCACAGGATTCAATAGGAAATGTGCTCTAAGGCTACAGGGCCTCGAATATCACGTGTGTGTGCTAGATACCGTCCATTCAGTTCCGACTCACAGTGACCCATACGTACAACAGAACGAAACACTGTCTGGTCCTGCGCAGTCCTCACAACTGCCATGCTTGAGCCCATTGTTGCAGTAGCTGTGTTGATCCATCTCATTGAGGGTCTTCCTCTTTTTCACTGACCCTCCACTTTACCAACCATGATGTCCTTCTCCAGGGACTGGCCCCTCCTGACAACATGTCAGATAATATCCCACTGCTATTCTTAAGGGTTTCAGTGCTAATCATTCAGAAGTGGTCCATCTCTCCTTCCTTCTGGTCTTAGTCTGAAAGCTCTAACTGTTCATCATAGCTGACCTGCTGGTACTTAAAATTCTGGCGGCATAGCTTCCTTCCAGCATCCCAGCAACACACAAGTCACCACAATATGACGAAATGACACACGAATGATGGTCTGATATTTGAGGCCAAGCCAAAATATATCACGGATTAACAAAAACTGTGTGTTTAAAAAACAGCAGGCTGGGAGGATCCCTAACACTGCAGCAGATCTTGAAATGCACTGAAATCCAGAAACCTCAGTTCAGGAGCTAGAATTGAGGTCAGTTCACAACAATACACTGCAGTCTCAAGAGACAGGCACGAAGTTCCAAAAACCAGGCTCCAAACGTCAGCTTTCTTATGGGCTTCGGGACTTTAAGCAAACAGGATTAATGTCTCTGTCTCCAGTTCTTCACGTGAAAAATGGAGACAATGCATGCTAACCACTCAGCACAGTGCCTGGCACAAAATAAGGACTCAGTAAATGTCAAATTTTATGACAGAGACTCTACAGCAATAAAAAAACATTCTGAGCAACTTTATCTAAATTATCTAAAAACACATTTTTTAGATAATTTAGTAAAATGGAACAAATTCCTAGAAAGACACAATCTACTGAAACTGATTCAAGAAGAAATGGAAAATCAGAATAGGCCTATTAAAAAGTAAAAAGACTGAATGATAAATCAAGACATCCAAGAAAGAAAAGCCCAAGACCAGACTGTTTCTTTGTTGAATTCCACCGAACATTTTAAAACGAATTAATGCCAATTCTTCACAATCTCCTTCAAAAACCAGAAGGAACACTTTCCCATTAATTGCATGAGGCGAGTATTTATAAGAAAAGACAACTATAAACAAATGTAAGTATCCCTTATGAATATAAATATAAATTTTGTTGCTGCTAAATGCCATCCAGTCAGTTCCAACTTATAATAATCCTGCATATTTTCCAGGGTTTCCAGGGAGTGGCTAGTGGGTTTGAATCACCATCCTTGTGGTTAGCAGTCCAGTGCTTATTCTATAGCACCATGGTGGTGGTGGTGGTTATGTGCCGTGGAGTTGGTTCCGACTCATAGCGACCTTGTACCGGGTTTCCGAGGCTGTAAATCTTTACAGGAGCAGAAAGCCTCATCTTTCTCCCGCAGAACAGCTGGTAGTTTCGAACCGCTGACCTCATGGTTCGCAGCCCGATTCGTAACCACTACGCTACCAGAGCTCCTTACACACATCTATAATGTAAAAATATCTTCAGCAATAGCAGATACGTAAAAAGGCTTATAAACCATTTCCAAGAGGGATTTATTCTAGGAATGCAAAGTTGGTTTAACACCTGAAGCTCAATTAATGCTGTATACCATATTAACAGAATAAAGAAAAAAGCCACACGATCATCTCACTAAAAAAAGGCACGATTTCACACTCCTCTGTGATAATAATTCTCAAAACACTAGGAATAAAAAGAAACACCCACAACCAAATAAAGGCTATTGTGTAGATTGAATTGTTTTCCCCAAACACAGAAGCTGAAATCCTAATCTCTGTATCTGTTAATATCACCCAGTTTAGAAACAGTGTCTCTGAAGATGTTCTCAGCTAACATAAAATCATACGGAGTAGGCCCTAGTCCTGTATCACTGGGGTCCTTACATAAGAGAAGAGACACAGAGAAACAAACGAAGGATAGCTGTGACCAAGCCAAATCATATCTGGGGCAGTTTTGCCTTCAAAACCTCAAAAGGAACTGACAAGCCCACCATCCTGATCTCAAATTCCCAGTCTCCAAAATTGTGAGACAATACATTTTTCTTCTTATAAGCCACCCAGTCTATAGTTATTTTGTCAAAGCAGCTCTAGAACACAAATACACCAAAAAATCAAACCCAATGCCACCAAGTGAATTCCAAATCACAGTGACCCAATAGAGGGTTTCTGAAGCTATTAATCTTCATAAGAACAGAAAGCCTGCTCTTTCTCCTGCGGAGCGACTGGTATGTTTGAACTATCAACCTTGCAGTTAGCAGCCCAATGCTTATCTACACACACACACACACACACACACACACACACACACACACAAAACCACAGCTAAAATCAAATTTAGTGGTAAAAGACTGGATACTTTACCCTTAAAATCAGGAACAAATAAAGATATGTTCATCTAGCCACAGGTATTCAACATTGTACTGGAGGTTCTATACAAGGCAATTAAGCAAGAAAATGCAATAAAAGGCATTCAGATTGGAAAGGAAGACGTAAATTTGCACAGATTCTATATTTAGAAAATCCTACGTAATCCACAAAAAAACTAGTACAACTAAAAATTAAGTTCAGCAATACTGCAGGATCCAAGGTCAATATACAAAAATTAACTGCATTTCTATATTGTAGCCATGAGAAAGCCCAAAAGAAAATGAGAAAAACAATTCAATTTACAACAGGATCACAAAGGATGTTTAGAAATAAATTTAACCAAAGCATAAAAGACTTGTACTAGTCAAGACTACAAGACATTGTTGGAAGAAATTAAAGACAACCTAAATAAGTAAAAACACAGCCCATGTTCATGGTTGGAAAGGCTTAAAATCAGGATGACAATATTTCCCCACTGATGTGAGGAGTCAAGACAAGCCTTTTATTTATCACAATCATACCTGATTCCTTTGCAGAAATCAAGAAGCTGATCCTAAAATTCATGAGAAAATGGAAGGCCAAAAACAACCATGGAGCGAAAAAAAGCATTAGAATACTTACACTTCCTGATTCAAAGTTTACTACAGGGTTACAGTGATTAAGACAGTGGGCTACTTACTGGCCTAAAGATAGATAGACGAGGAGGCTTCAAAAAGTCTGCGGAATAATTCCATTATCTTTTTTTTTTATTATTATTATTCCATTATCTTTCACTCCATTTTCCCACAAACCTTCTGAAGGCCCCTCATATAGATCAAAAGAATAGAAATGAAAATCCAAAAAGGAACCCTTACATCTGTGGCCAACTGATTCAACAAGAGACGCTGACACACACACAGTTAATGTGCTTGGCAGCTAACTGAGACATTGGAAGATCAAGTCCCCCCTAGAGGCACCTTCAAAGAGTGTCCTGGTAACCTACTCCTAAGAAATCTACCCTTAACCAGGAGAGGAAGCACACCTCTACTCTGACACACGAGCTGTCAATTCCATGGCAACTGGTAAGACTGGTGATTTTCAACAAGCGTGACGATATATTTCAATGAAGAAACAAGAGTCTTTAACAAATTGGTGCTGGGACCACTGGAAACCCACAGGCAAAAGAGAAAAGTTGGGTGGGAAGAAGAGCAGCGGGGGCGGGGGCTCTGTGGCAGCTTGGGCCTCAAGTGCAAGTAACAGAGTCGCTGTGACTCTCCAGTGTCTTGCAGCGTTTCCTCTGTCATTTGGTCCACAGTCTCAGTCCATTTGTGGAGGGCACTGGTGTAACAGCAGTGGCCTTTAATACGGAACTCGACCCAAGCCATGGTATTTTCAATCACTTCATATGCATGAGGCCAAAATGGCCAAACTTCGTCTCTCATACTTCGGACATATTGTCAGGAAGGCGCAGTCACTGGAGAAGGATGTCATCTT